TGAGCACAGTCACTCAGGTGATAGGACCCCCAGGACTGAGCACAGTCACTCAGGTGATCGGACCCCCCAGGACTGAGCACAGTCACTCAGGTGATCGGACCCCCCAGGACTGAGCACAGTCACTCAGGTGATCGGACCCCCCAGAACTGAGCACAGTCACTCAGGTGATCGGACCCCCAGGAGGCTTCTGCCCGTCATGGTCCTTGGCCTTGGGTGAACACCTGCATCAGGTGTCACATGAGCACACAATCCTGGTTTTGCAGCTGGTGTTCCTAAAGCGACTAGAATTTGTCCTGCACTGAGGCCCTGTCTCCTTGTGTACCTGGCTGACAGCAGGGGAGACTGGCCTGGAGAGAACGGTGTCCTGGGTTGTCCACCCGAGAACGTTGCAGGCGCCTGGGGCAGCCTGTAGCCAGGCGTGCCTGGACAGCGCAGAAATGCTCTGACTCCTCACTCAGACCCTTCAGGGGGACAGAGTGTGGTTTCGTGATCACACGAGTGGTCTTTCCTGTTGTGGCCAGGTCACTCACTGTCACGCGCAGGCCCCGAGGCCTGTGTCCGCTCCCTGACAGCGATCCCTGTCTCTGGGCCACCGCCTCAGGGCTCCACGGGCTCACTGTGGCCCCCACCTGCCGCTCCCCGTACCTGCAGGAGCAGCAGCTAGTTAGGGTTGCTGCTCTCTGCCCTTCAGTGTCCCGTGGGCACCTGCCTCCTGATGTCCTTCCTCCCGAGGACCCAAGTGCCCCCTGAGCTGCCAGGGGAGCCGGCTGGGAGGTGAACTGCCATGCGTTGCCCCCGAGGCAGCCCAGTGCCCCCCCGGGACCGGCAGCTCCACCACAGTCCTGCCCCAGAGCGAGCACAGCCGGGGCGCCTCTGCAGCTCCGGGACCCGTGTGCATGCGTGTTCCTGAGCCCGCGCGCGCCTGCACGGCCAGGGTGTGAACCGGGGTCTCCAGGGAAGCCCCCTGGGGTGATGCAAGTCTCGGAGGTGCCGGACGCTGCAGACGTGGTGCTCTGGAGCTTTGGCGGGGAGGCTTCTCATTCAGGTGGTGTCCTACAGCCTCCGCCCTGTTTCTTGTAGGAGCAGATAGAGCTCCCAGAGGTCCCTTCAGAGCCGCTTCCTGAAAGGAAACCAGGTATGCTTCTTGCCCTGTCCTTTGGAGAACAGTGGGTTCTAGAACAAAGCGCAATGCCCGGGCCGCGAGGTCCTTCGCTCCCTGCTTGGTGGAGGTTGGTTCGCACCTCCCCAGCTGGGTAGGCGGCCTGCTGGGGCCAGCTCAGGAGCACGGGCCTCACTCTGGGGTCGGGCCTGGGTCTCTGGGGTGGGGGTGGCCTGGTGGAGCCTGACCCCCTCCAGAGAGGCAGAGCTGGGGAAAGGCCGAGTCCGGCCAGGACGAGCTGTCCTCTGAATAGCAGGGCCCTGTGGTGTCACCCGCCGCTGGGGCCCCGTGTGGCTGGTGGTCCCTTCGTGTTTCTTTCTGCCCCTTTCCCCGTTCCTCCTTCACGCCAGGCCCCGCCCGGAGCGCACCGCGTGGGACCAGGCTCCTCGCCACCCTCCTTCCTTCTGCCTTTGGGGTCTTCTCTACTCGACAGACACCTCTTTCTTTCCTCCACAGAGCAAGTCCCCCGCGAGGCCAGGCCCAAGCAGGTGGAACTGGTGGCAGCCTCGTAACTTGGCCTCCTCTTCCAGGACTGGCGGGGACTCCCCAGAGACTGGGGCCCACAGAGTTTGGGTGCGTGGCCAGCCCTGGCCCGGCTCCCAGGAGGCCAGCGCCAGGCCAGGCCGGTCAGGTGCTGACGGAGCAGCGTGGCGCACACAGCGCTCCATCCCAGGGTGACTGCGGAGGGGCGCTTCCCTGGCGCTGCGGTCTTGCTCTCGTTTCTGGATTAAATGGCAACATTCAGACCCTCTGGCCACACACGGCCTCTGACGCTGTGGCTCCCACGCGGCCACAGGCAGACCCAGTGCTCCTGGTGCTGGCCACACTCCTGTCCCTGGCCCCGTGAGGCTCCACAGCCACCTTCTCCGCAGCTTGCTCTCTTCTTTCGAGGGCGTGTCGAACCCAGCTTCCTTGCCCGCCCTTTGCTCACTTCTTGCTGCTGCCGTCAGCTGGCGGCTTCCGTGAGGGAGTCCCTGCCATGGCCTGGCTTCCTGACCTGCCCAGTCTCCTTGTCGCTTCAGGGCTGGAAACCAGTCCTCCTCTGTGTCGGTGTTTGGGGGCGTTGGGCCAGCGAGGAGGGGGACCGCCCCTGCTGGCTTGGTGGCTGCGGAGCCCCGACCAGCCCTCATCACCAGCGGGAGCTCGGCCCCACTGCAAAGGGACGTTCCTGGAGAGCCGGTGGTCTCCCAGGGCTTCCCGGAGGTGCTGACGGGCCCGCTCGGGTGGGTGCGGCCCCCGTTGCCTGGGAAGCTGCTGGGCACCCGGGGCTCTCCGACCGGGCGGACGCTGTGGGGGGTGATCGCGGCTCTCCAGCTGACGGCTCATCTTGGTATTAGACAATCCCAATGATATCTCCCTCCCAACAAGAACAGAAAGGGGATCCTCCCAGCCCCCCAACAGGTCAGCCCCATATTAAAGTTGATGCCTGCATGGTCTGCTGCCTCATGGAGTGGGGCCCATGGGAGCACCTGGGTGGGTTAAAGTGTGGCTCCTCTCCTCTTGGGTCCCTGAAATACGGCCCCTTGACCCTCACAGGGCATTCACTCGAGGGCGCCTGCCTCAGCAGCACCACGTGGGGGCTGGGGACGCAGGGGCAGGGAAGGTCCTCAGTGCGCCGGGCGGGGCTCCAGCACTGACCGCACCCTGGGCTCTGGCCGTCCCCTCAGGCAGGGCAGCTTCGTGTAGCAAGGTGCAGGGTAGGGTCCTGGTCCCCCTCCAGTGGAACAGACACCGGCGGTCCCCTCATTCACTGAGGCTGGCCTCAGACCCCTTGGGGTGAGGGAGGCTGGTCAGTTGGGTACCTCCTCCAGGAGGGGGGCTCGTTTGGAGTCCCAGTGCCCAGATGGGAAGCCAGATGCCCCAGGGAGTGAGCAGGCGACAGCAAGAAGGATGGGGGGTGTCCCACTTATGGGGGCTTCCGTGCCCTTCAGTCGGAGGGCATGATGGGATGCAGCCGAGTTGCCCCCGGGGGGTGGGGGTGAGACCCAAGCTGAAAACCTGGATTTGGAGGTGTAATGCCAGCCTCAGCCAGGAGAGGGCGCTCTGCCAGGTAATCTGGGGAAATTTGCAGGAAACTGGCATTGCCGGTGCCAGGCTGGCTGCTGGGCCCCACCCATGTTTCTGGTAGCACAGCCAGCCACCCCCAAGACTGCACAATGGCCCTGAGGGCAGTTCTGAGAGACAAGGAGGAGCAGGCAGCCTTTCCATCCAGCGACCGGGTCCCACTCTGCAGCTGCAGGTCCAAGAGTGTGGAGGGAATGGACGGCCTGGTTGGGGGAGGTGCAGACCCCACTGGCAGGGTGGACCCATCTCCTTTCCGTCTGCTCCCCAGGACCCCAGAGCTCAGGGTTGTCTGCAAGCCTGCCCTTTGCAGTCACAGGCTGGCTTCCCTGAGGGCTTCGTTACGGGAGCTGCATGGTGGGATGTCAGGGCTCCAACTGCCCCCCTGGTGAGCGCCTGGAGAACCCGCCTGGGTCTGCATGGCCCACTCCCTGGCATGGGGAACACAGCAAGCAGCCTGGGCGTCCTGACCCGGGCGAGGGGCACCCCCATCTCCTGAAACAGCCCAAAAGTTGGGGAGGGAATCTTGTCCTCTCGCACTGTCCAAGAAGTTAGATCTTACGTACCAATTAATCACCTTTTCTCTGTTTACACATTTATTCTGTTCACCTAGGGAGGTTATGCCCTGAAACCCAGCATGACCTTGAGCTGACTCCTAGGCTCTGGCCCTAGAGGTTGCCTGGCTTGCCAGCCCATGTGGGGCGGGGGGGGGGGGGGGGGACCGGGGTGACCCCTCCTGCTAGGATGAGCCTCACATTGATCCTGCCCAGCACTGAACCCTGGTCTTAAAATACCAGTGACGTGACCCTGACACAACTTTGTTCTAATCTACAGGGCATAGCCCTCAGGAACACTACAGACAAGTGAGAACTGAGTTCAAACCTCTGGTGGCAGAGCTGGTATCCTGCCCAAGATCAGTGGGGGCTAGGGAAACAGGTGGGAGAGGCCTACAGGGGGGCCATGGGGCCATCAGACTAGAGAGGACTACCTGGGGAGCTGGGACAAGCCTGGGACAGGAAGGAGGGGTGAGGACTGGGCTCGGGGACCATTTTGGTGGGATGCACATTTGTCCCCAGTACAGGCAGCATGAAAGTTTAAAAGCAGGGGGTGGGGAGGCGGGGGCACCCAGGATGAGATGGGGGCACCACCCAGGATGAGGTTGGGCACCCAGTTACGGAATGGGGTCTCCCTGGCCCATCTGTGTGCCCTGCCCTAGGGAGGCCCCCTCCCCACCTACAGCCACCCCTTGGGGTCTCCCTGAAACCCTGCCCTACCCAGGGAGAGAATTGGGGGACATCAGGCAGAGTGTGGGGCATTGTCCTGACAACACGGGGGCTTCTGGAGGTGCCAGCTCCTCTCCGTGGTCACTCACTGGCCACAAACTCAGGAGGGAGGCCCTGCCACCCTGTCCACGTCCACGTGCACAAGAACAGTCGAAGCTCAGAGTGGCCACTGGAGGCCAGCAGAACCTGTGGTCTGAACCAGCCAGGCTGACAGGCTGCTGGGACAAAAATCCTTGTTCTCCAGAGGATCATGACAGACCCAGAGTCGACACAACACAGCAGCCAAAATGCCGGATTAGAACAAAGAATCATGAAAACGTGACCAGCTTCCAAGGGAAAAGACAATCAGCAGATGCCAACTCAGATCCAGGTGGCGGGATTATCGGAACTATGTCACAGAAGGTAAAGTTAAACACACTGGAAACAGATGGAAAGATCTCAGCTGGGGAGTAGAGAGGATACAAAAGAATGAGATGTAAATTTCAGAATTGAAAAATATACCAAAAATACAAAAAATTAACAAGCTCAACTGCAGAAAGGAGGTGTCCAAGGAAAGACTCTATGAGCTGGACGATCAGCCAACAGAAATCATCTGGTCTGGAGAAGAGACGGAAGTGTGGGGGCAAGTCCGTGCCTCGGGGCAAGTCCATGCCTCAGGACCAGTGAGACAGGATGAGAAGGTCCAATGCTGTGTTACTAAAATCCCAAGAGAGGAGAACATGATAGCAGGAAAAAAATTTTTTTGGAGAAAGACTGGCCGAAAAGTTCTCACATTTGAGGAAAGACTTCAACCTACAGACAAGAATTGCAGTGACCCCCCAACAGGGCCAATCCAAAGAAAGCCGTGCCTAGACATATCATAATTAAACTGCTAAAAATTGAAGGCAAAGAAAAAAAATCTGGAAGGCTCCAGGTGGAAATGAAAGCTGTAGAGAGGAACAATGATCCGAACAAGCACTGGGATCAGAAACCACAGGGGCCAGAAGATGGGGAAGCGGGTCTTGAAAGTCTCTGAAGACAACGGTCAGCCCAGAGCTTTGGGGAGGAAGGAAAAGCGAGGACACTCTTCAGCAAAGGGAAAGAGCTGGTTGTGCGGACCTGCTCGAAAGGAGCTACTGAGGACGCTTTTCAGGCCGCCAGAAAATGATGCCACATGGACATGTGTGTCTTCAGGAATGGGGGAAAAACAACAGAAATGGTCAATATCTGAGTAAATAGAAAAGATAATTTTCCCTCTCAGGTTTTTAAAAACGTATGTGACTGCTGAAAGCAAAAATTCAAACACTGGTGGGGTTTTCAACACCTGTGAATGCCCACAGCTGTGACGTGAAAGGAAGGGGTAAGGCGTCTGCAGTTAACTCCAAATCCCCTGCGGAAGGGTGGGCGTGTAGCGGAAACCCCTAGTGTGACCACACGTACACACAGATGCAGCCAAAAATCCGAAGGTTTTCAAACAATCCGAAAGAAGGCAGGAAAGGGGTAACAGAGGGACAGAGAGAACAATAAAGTGGTGGATCTAAAATCAGTTCTTAATAACCACATTAAATATAAACAGTTCAAACACACCAGTTAAAGACAGATTGTGAATAAAAAACAAAAAGCCTGACTGTGCCGTGTCTAAGAAGCCCACTTTAATATAAAGACAGGAAAAAAATAAAAAGATGGGGAAAATGTATCTTGGGAGATGCGAATCCAGGGAAAGCTGCAATGGTCACGTCAGCATCAGACAGCGTGGATTTCAAGACGAATATCGCCGAGACGGGGGGGACGTTATGTGACAAAGGCAGGCATCGCAGTCCGAGTACCCACAGAACCACAGCACTTCAACGCACAAGCGGTAGAACCGAAGGACGGACCATCTCTTGGAGGCTGGACATGAGGCAGCCAGGCTTCCAGGATGAGGATGGAGACCAGCCGGACGGACTCGCCCACGGCAGAGCGCACATTCTGTTCACGCGACACAGAACGCTCACCAACATGCACCATGTTCTGGGCCATCCCGTAAACCTGAACAAAATTAAAAAAAAAAAAATTGAAATACTACAAAGTATGTTCTCAGACCATAAAGTAATGACTGGAAATCAATGACAGGTCTCTGAAAGATCCACAGATATTAAACAATGGGGTAAAGAGGAATTCACAAGAGAAATTAGAAAATATTTTTTTAAGTGAATGAAAATTAAAACATTAACATTTGTGGACTATAGCTAAAGTAGCGCTTTTCCTCTGAGGGAAATTCATAATACTAAATGCATATTTTTTTAAAAGGAAAGTTTCTAATCAATGAGCTAAACTTTCACCTTAATTAATTAGAAAAGGGGCAAATTAAATCCAAGGTAATCAGAACAAAGGAAATAACAGCAGAAATCAATGAAGACAAAAACATGAAAGAAAAATCAGTGACAGCAAAACGCAGTTATTTGCTAAGCTCAGTCAATTTGATGAGCCTGAGCCAGACTGACCAGGACAAAGGAGGCACAAATTACAACATCGGGAATGAAAGGGAACCATCACTAGAGACCCTGTAAACAATAAAAGAACATTAAGGAAATATTAGTTTTATGCCTGTGAATTCATCAATCTAGAAGAAAGGGACCAATTCCTTGAAAACCACACACCAGGCAGCTCGTCGAGGCTGCCCGGATGGGGCGCGCACTCGTGTCTGCTAAAGAAATGCAGTCCCGCTAGACACCAAGGGGAGACATCATAGCAATTCTGCACGAACTCAGGGAAAGCCGATGAGGGAGTGCTTCTCAACGTACTCTACCAGCATCCAGCATGAACACAGACACAAGATCCTCAGCAAAACAGGAGCAAACCTAATCCAGCAATATGTAAGAAGGGCTCTTTATCCTGGAATAACTTGATTCTGGGATCAATCAAATGGGGTTTATCCCAGAAATGTAGGGGTTTATCCTGGAAATGTAAGGTTCATTCAGCATACAGATATCAATCAATGTAATTCACAATATCAACAGACTAAAGAAAATCTGATGACATCTCAGTAGATGCAAGAAAAGCATGTGACAAAATTCAGCAGCTAGCATTAAAAAAAACTTTGCAAACTAGGAAAAGAGGGAACTTCTTTATAAAAGGCATCTGCAAAACCCTACAGCTAACAGCATGCTTAATGGCAAAGGGCTGAATGCTCTTCCCCCGTAAGATGGGGAACCAGGCAAGGGGACTCCTCTGGTCACTTCTATTCAACATCACATTGGGGGTCCTAGTCAGCAGCATCAGGAGAGAAATCAAATGCACACACGTTGGGAAGGAAAAAAGGTAAGTTTCTAGTTGTGGCAACATGACTATGTACGTAGAAAACCCCGAAGGATGGGGCGCCTGGGTGGCCCAGTCGTTGGGCGTCTGCCTTCGGCTCGGGTCATGATCCCAGAGTCCTGGGATCAAGCCCCACGTCGGGCTCCCTGCTCAGCAGGAAGCCTGCTTCTCCCTCTCCCACTCCCCCTGCTTGTGTTCCTGCTCTCGCTGTCAAATAAATGGATAAAATCTTTAAAAAAAAAAAACAAACAAACCCCGAAGGAATCTACAGGAAATCTGTGAGAACTAACCAGCAGGTTAGTGAGCTTATGGACTACCAGGTCACTGTATAAAATTCCATACGTATTTCTATTTACTAGCAATGAACTACTGGAAGCAAATTAGAATTTTAGACTCGGGAAACAGACTTCCACTGCCTAGGATGGAGTAGCAGGCGCCAGGCCAGGTACCCGCTACAAAATAGGAAAAAGACAAAATACAGAGCTTCCCCTGTTGGAGCATCTGAGAGCCGTCGGGAGCGTTGCTTGCGCCTGCTTTGAGAAAATCTGAATCACGGGCCTTCGATATTGGCAGCTCTTTGGGGGGGGGGGGGGGCGCGGTGAGGAAGCTTCCAGCAGGCCCCCTTCAATACACAGCCTTCGAAGGGCCTGGGCGTACGGCAAGGAGAAAGAGGCCTCCAGTGGCTCCCACGGCTTAAACCCTCTGCCGAAGACCATGTGTGTGCACCGTCAGATCCCCCTTCCCGGCTCCGGGTTCCTCACCACGGTTGGGCAAGATGGCCCGCCAGAGGACAGGGAGGGCCGGGCCCGGGGTGGGAGGCGTCTGGGCAGGCCGGGAGGGCCGTGGTGCAGTGGCAACATGACCCCGGGGTCGGGGGCCGCTAGATGGACCAGGGAGCTCTCCGGGTCCCCAGTCACCTACCCGATCTCCTGACAAAGCCCGATGCTGCTCAAGCCTGAGGCTCTTGACCACCAGGATGCAGATGCAGCGGCCCAGGGCCCTGGGTGGGGAGAGGGAGGTCTCGTGGCCCAGGGAAAGCCCCTCCCAGGTCCTGGCCTGTGTGTGACAAGGCTGAAGCCTGGTCCCACCCCACCTGTCCCGGGGGCTGGTGGTCAGAGGCCTTGGGCAGGTTGCTGGAGCCCGGCTCCCTGGCTCCCGGACACCACCTGGCAGCCCGGTCCTGCCAGGGCCACAGACGGTCTGGGCTCCCACCCAAAGCATCCGCAGGCAACAGGTCAGCACTTCCATTCACTCCGCGTGTCTGAGGGCAACTGCCCTGTTTCTTCCCTGAGAGCACCGGGCAGGGGAGGGGCTGCAGATCCTCGAAGACATCTCAGATGCCGGACAGCCCGGGACCGTCTTCAGGCCAGGGGGCTCCATCCGGAATGCACCCAGGAATTGCTCAACTCACAGAGCGGCCCGTGGTCCCTGCTGCTTCTGGGGCTCTGCCTGGGCTGCAGGACGCAGCTGAACTGGGTCCAGGGAGTCCCTCCGGTAGCTGGGCGGACGGGGGCCAAGTTTTGGTCAGAAGCCTCTGAGAGCGGCTGTCTGGCCTCCAGGGCTCACTTCCCTGATGGAGTCCTGAAATAACGAAATTCTAGAGAAGTCTGGCTCCTCCAAGGAAAGCGCTACACACGTGCCAAGGTGCCCACTGTCACGAGGCTTCAGGGAAATGCAAATCAAAACCACACTGGGACACCACCTCCCATCCACCAGGATGGCCAGAACCAAAAAACAAATCACAAAGCCGGTGAGGAAGCGGAGAAATCCAAGCCCTTGCGTGGTGCTGGTGGGGATGTGCGATCGTGAGTCACTAGGAGGAACAGCTGGGTGGTTCCTCAAAAAGCTAAACATAGAGTCACCACGTGGCCCAGCAGGCCCACCCCTGGAGACACACGCCACGGACCTGAAAACAGCGTTCCAACAGAAACGTGCGGGTGGGGGTTGGTGGCAGCACTGCCCACGGTCCCCCGAAGGCGCAGGCCTTCCCGCGGCCCCACCGTGGACGGCCAGCACGCGGCGCAGAGTACTCAGCCGTGAAGAGGACCAGGGGGCTGCCACACGGCGGACGCCCAAGAAATGCGCCAAACGCAAAAGATCACACGGGGTAGGATCGCACTGACGAGAAGCCCACGGATGCAGAGAGCAGGCGCCAGCCGCGGGAGGGCCGGGGCTGCCTTCGAGCGGATGACAGTGCTCCGGAACCAGATGGGGGAGGTGGGCGCAGGGCACGGTGAACGCACTCGACGCCTGTAATGGGGACGGAGCTGCACACTTCGAAAACGCTTCCTCTGTTACGTGATCTTCACCTCAGTCTTCAAACACGAGCTCACAGGGGCTTCTGAAGATACGGGTCACAGCCAGGGCTGTCAGGGGAGGGGACCCCATCCTCTCTCACACGTATGACCTTTCCTTCCTCGCTGGGCCCCAGGAGGACAGGCTCCCGGAGGTCTATGGCTTTGCGGGGCCTCGAACATCATCAGAGAATTTCCCGTCCCTCAGACCCGGAGCGCTGCAGCCACCGGCCGACTGCCCAGATTCAGGGGCAAGCACGAGGACTGACATGACCGGAGTCTGTGGCTGCCCTGTCCCTGTCACCATCCCACCCATTCCTGCAGCCCGTCCACCCGGCTGTCCTCGAAGATGCTCTGCACATCCCCGCCTTGCCTGGGCCACGTCTCTCTGCACTGGCCACCAGTCCCCATCACCTTTCTGGGCCGTCCACCAGGTGGCAGTGAAGGCTCCCCGATGCTCAGTCCCTGCCCACTGGCCCAGGCCAGCGCCCCGCCTCCTCTCCGCAGACCAGGGGGCCCAGCTGCCAGGCCCCCTGCTCCTGCAGGCGGAGCTCGGCATAAACTCAAAGGCACCTGCACCCTCGGCCTCTATACCTCCCTCAGACGACAGGGGGTGCCCATCCAGCAAAGCCACGCAGGGCTGTCCTAGGACTGACACTCCCAGTCAGACCAGACCTGTCCCAACTGCCTGCAAATTACCAGCTCAACTTCCCAGCCACGCTGCACTGAAATCCCACGTTGGCTCTCCAACAAGGAGCCTGTGTCCCCGCAGGAAGAGTGTCGGCTTTTACTCTCCTGATGCAGAATCAAGGTCACTGACGTTTCCCAGCAGGAACTCTGCAGGCCAAAGAATGAAGGAAAATTACAACTGAACCCAACACACCAGCCCCTGAGGCCGCACAAAGGACTGTTGGCACCTGCGGTGCAGAGAAAGTCTCGGAATCTGGGTGTGAATTAACAGCAGAGCTGCCCGAGCTCCCCTGAGGCCTCGCTTCTGTCCCCACAGAGTGGCACTCTGTAAAGGCCACATAGTCGGCGTGGAGGTTAAAGGTCACCCCAAGCTGTTTAAGTTGTTTTTCCCCACGGGTGGAATGTTCTTTTCATAGGGACATCCAGGCGACAGCCAAAGTTTCCAGGAGCCTCTGCAAAAATGTCTGCTTCTTCCAACTCTTGAGAGAGAGAAAGAGAAAAGCCTGATGGCGTAAATCATATTCTCAAGCTAGAAAACTAAAATGATTTTTCTCAAAGTCACGTCACCTTCCGACCAGACCTGCCAGGGAAGCAGTTCTGAAACTCCACACTTCTTCGGGATCTGAAAGCGTGGCGGTGGCCTGGCTCCTCGAGATGTGGAGCCCAGTGCCAGCCCCAGCTGCAGCCTGTGTCCCGGAGGGACCGCAGAAGGGACTGGCCCAGCGTCCCCAGCCCACTGCGTCCCCAGCCCACTGCCCACCCAGCCCCTGCCAGAGGCCAGGTGCTTCTGTGGCTTCTCGGTCTGGCTGCCCTGTGGACCTGGACTATGGGCATCGCTCTCCCCAAGACCCCAGACTCCTCTTCCCAGAATTCCCTACCATTTGCTCCAGGAGCTCGTAGCCAAATACCCTCTGTCCCCCACGGGTGTCCACCTGCACACGCCCGGGCACCGGAGCCAGCCTGGCCCCTTGGCCCGCTCTGCTCTCTGCCTGGCCGGTTATATCACAGTTATTCTAGCACATTCTAGGGTGAGCCGCAGCAGAGGATAACTGTACTCATGTGCTACCCAAGGGGACGGGACCTCACATGTCCCTGTGCCACGTCCAGGGGACACACCTGGCTCAGGAGAGCCCCCCACATAAGGAGCCACCCTAGACAGGGAGACGACAGGGCGGCCGCAGTCGGGAACCAGGGACACGCCGCTGGGCCAGTCTTGGCAGATGTCCATGTGCACGCCGGACAGCAGGGCAGCTTTGACCCCCGGCAGGCCACCCACAGGCCGAGCCCGAGTGGGCCTCAACGCCGCCCAGGGGTTTCAGGATCTGCAGCGAGAAGAAAAAGTCAGATTTCAGGACTGAAGACAACATTTTAAAATCCGGCTTTAAATAAACATGGAATAAAAAAAGAGCGAGCGGAGCCTCCGGCAGCTGAAATTAGAAGCAGCAACCCTGGGCAGGGGGGCCATCTGTGTGCGCCAGGCAGCGCCCGGAGGCGGGGGCTGCCTCGACGGCGAGTGCCGCCGGGACAGGCCAGGCCCCGTTTCCCAGGGCAGCCCCGAGCCCCGACTCCAGAGAACAAGTCCCCTCCTCTCTGCTCCAAACCACCTTTCCCATCACTGTCGGGGCCACTCGAGTCTGATGAGAGGCAGAGAGAAGGGCACGAAGACTGCGGCTCCGGGCGGAGGGGGAGCGAGCCCGGGGCAGCCTGCGTCTGTGTCCTGGGCCTCGTTGTCTCAGCAGCTCCCCGAAGGTCCTCCCCACCCGACCCCGCCTGGGAGGCCCAGGGATGGGACTATTTAAATCTGCACTGTCAGCTACCCGGAACGATCAGCAGGTGGGTGCCGGAGCTGGCGGACGCGGGATGACGCTGACATGCAGAGGGGGGAGGAGCCCTGAGAAAGTCGGAGCCTCTTCGCGCCCTGGCGCTCACCCCCGCGCCGCCTCCCACGGCCCCTGGAGTCATGCCGAGGCGCACGGATTATGTAAGGGGGCCGGTTGCTGGGGAACCTCTCCCACCCAGGCCTGCCACGCGGCCCCCAGCCCTGCCACGCGGCCAGCACCTCCATCTCCTCCACCCGCCAGGAGCCCCTTTGGGCCTTCCCGCTGGCCTGGCCCCCAGGGAAGCTGGGGGGACGTTCTAGGCTGACGCTGAGCCCCAGCAACCATGGGCCAGGAGGCCACACCTGAGCCTGACCTGCACTTCTCCATCTTCCTCTGTGTGTGTCCGCCAAGCAAGCTCCGGGCCTTAGAGACCTTAGAGATCTTGGGGACAGGGTCCCTTCCCGGGCACGCCCTGTGCCCCCACGTCTGTGCTCCCTCGGGGACAGGCAAGGTAGGGCACAGATCCCTCCAGGCCCAGGCTGAATCTGTCCCGTGTAAGGCCAACGTTTTGACCACAGTGGAGAAAGCCTTTAAACTGTGTTCAGGTCAAGGATGAGCAGGTTTTGGGGAAAGTGCAAATGTGAGTAAACTGCGGGGGAGGGGGGAGGGAGACAGCCCCCATCTGGGGTGGCAGGAGAGCGGCCGCCCTAACCTGGCCTCCACTCCTGTCCTGCTGTCCACAGACCTGGCCCAGGGCACCCTCTGTGGGGACAGGGTCACTGCTCCACCTGCTGGCCCCGCAGAGGCGGGGTTCTGGCGGGGGGTGGGCTGCGGGCTGCATGGAGGCTGGTGCCCCTCTCCCTTTAATAAACTCTTAATTTCAGGGCAGTTTTCAATTTACACCATTATTGCAAAGATACACCACCCCACGTTTCCTGCCGTCAGCACCTCCCGCCGGCGCAGGGCGCGCGTCACAAATCAGGAACCAGTCTGGCTCGCTGTTGTTAACACAAGTCCACACTCTGTTCAGGTTTCCTTGGTTTTCCTGTCACACCCTCTCTCTCCCCTGGTCGTCATGTCTCCCCAGGCGCCTCTGGGCTGAGCCGTCTCTCCTGTCCCTGGTTTCGGGGGGCCCGGCAGTTCTGGGGGGCGCTGGACGAGGTGCTGGGCTGGCCCTCCATGGGGACGTGTGTGATGTTCCCATGGAGCTTACACTGGGGTGATGGGTTCTTGGAGGAAGACCACAGAGCTGAAGGGCCTTCTCATCACGTCAGGGCCCCGTGGGGTCACAGGGACGCGAGCTAGCTCCCTAGCTGAGGCGCACCTGTCAGCGTCTCCCGCGCTCTCGGGAAGGCGGTGGCCACGCACAGCCCACACGTAAGGGCTGGGGAGTCTCCTGGAGGAATCCCCACTTTTTAAAGAGCAGCTTTTCATGTGCCTTTTTACGGGGCATCTGGGTGTTTTCCAGAAATGTCCGTCTAAGGGCTATTGACAATAATCTCTAAAACATTTGAGGGCTTGTCAGGTGCCAGGCACAGTTCTCGGCGCTTCTCCTGCCATTTGCACTGCGAGTCTCCCAAGGCTCTGCCCACCTCCCCCCGCCTGGGGCTCACAGAGGCCGGGGGAGCGCCCAAGCCCCGCTGGGCTGTGCCGGTGACTGGCTCCTGGTAACCGGCTCTTCCTCCACTCTGCGTCCACTCCCTCACCAGCACACCCAGCCGGTAGACACCAGGCCTAACGCAGGGGCAGGAAACGTGGCTGTCCTTTTGTCCTGGACAAAGCCGTGGTGTGCCGGAGGCTGCTGAGGTGACCCTCCTGCTGGCAGGAGCCAGGACTCCCCCAGGCCTGTGAGCTTCCAGCTCAAGGCGGCTCCAAGCTTTCTTGCTGATACTGCGGACAGTCACGGAGAACGTGGGCCTGGCCAGGACCCAGAAAACAGTCCTCTGGACACAATCAGACGGTGTGCCATAACCCTGGCCCAGGCCAGTCACCCGGGGCACCTGGTGTGGACGGGGTCAGCAGTGCAGGCCGGGACAGATGGGAAAGGTGAGGTCCTGCTAGGTAGGCCCGTCCCTCCGGCCCTGGAACTTTCTGGTTACCGATTACAAGTGCTTTAATCCAGGAAGGAGAAAGGGAGGAGGAGTCTGGATTGGCTGGCTCCTTCTCTGAGAGCCAGGAGGAAGGAGGAAGGCGGAGGAAGAGAGAAATGGCCCCCTTGCCAAGCAAGCACACATGTCCCTGTGATCTGAGCCGAATGGCCACCCCTTAGGCCAAGCTCGGCAGAAACCAGGTTAGGCAGAAAGAGACACGGAGTTTGTGAAAGCCCTTCAAAGTTTTGCTGGGTGGCCACCTCAGAAAGGACTCCTGTTTAGCAAGAATTCACAAACCCTTGTGCCTGCCTGCCAGGAGAACAGCTTGCTTGAAAAGCAAGGCTGTCATCCTGTAATTAAATCTGAGACCCCCCTCCCTACGTGGCGCTGAGATGAAGCCACTTATATAACACGCCTAAAAATAAGCTGATGAAGAGACGCACTTTTATTCTCCCTGCTTCCAGCCCTTTACTCCTGGGCCACCCAGGCTGGGGTCTGCTGAGCTGGGGGTCGGCGTCAGCCCCCCCACATGGTCGGGTTCTCACCTCCGACCGTGGCCCAGCAGCCCGCACGCATCAGGGCCCGGGGCTGGCGCCCGGACCAGAGGCCGCTCTAGTTCAGAGCTGGGTGCTGAAGATCCACACGGCTACCCATCTCCCCGGTCACGCAGACCACAGAGGTGAGGACCGACAATCAGGCGTGACAGGGAAGCTGGTGGCTACAGAGTGCCAGAGCACCTGCCTTCTCAGGGACCCCTGAGCTGCCCCCCAGCTCTGCCCCGAGGGCCAGAAGAACACCATCCCGGTCTGCGGCGTGCTGGGAGCTGCCCATCTTGGCTGGCGCTGGCCCTCTTGCTAATCCTCTCCGACTTCTCCATCGTGACAGCGCCTTCCTCTTGCCGGTCTTGGAGGGGGCGGGCCAGACCCCAAGTCTAGGCAATGATTTCCCAGCTGCACTGACTGCCAACCTCCAGGCAAGGCACTCGATCCCACAGCCCCCCACACACTCCGAGTTAAGGGGAGAAAGAACAAGTGGGTTTTATAAAGGGCTCAGAACACTCCAAAATAAAAAGGTGCCAAGACAAAGGTGCCCCCTTAACTCTGGGAGCTGGCACAGGGGCTGACCTCTCAGCACCCAGCCCGCCATCTAGCCCTGTCCACAGCTTGGGCCCTAGGCCCTTACCCCTGGCCCTAGCCCCGCCCCAGACACCATCACCACTGGAAGGGGCTTCCACACAAGGAGGAAAACCCTCAGAGAACACTGGTGTCTCCCAGGCGGGGGGGCTCAGACCCCCGCTGAAGACTCCTTCACAGCTGAAGGAGTGGGCGCGCCCATGCTGAAGACCTTTCTGGAGTCTGGTGGTGCAGAGAGGCCACCAGGCAGGGTATAGGTCTCCAGGCCTCTCTAGGACGGCCTTGCCCACATCTCACTCTGCGCCTGCCATGGGTCCTGCCAGGTTCTCGGTGATGCTCGGTGCAATGCTCCTTCACTTTCACTGGTGGCAGGTGCTGACTGATGGCTTCCCTCCCCAGGACGGGCTGCAGGGCCATCAGCACGCCGGGAGGCAGGCCAGGCTCCAAGTGGGTCCCCTACCTCAGCCACTACCAAAAATGAGCATGCCCTCGGGCAGGACAGTCAAGAGCAGGAGCTTCTAGAGGGTGGGGTGGTGCTTAGGACTATGGAGGCTTCTCTGGAGAGGCCCTCTCCTCCCTCTACTGTTTTGAGACTGATAGGAGCAGACAGCTCAGAACTCTCCAGGCTGATTCCCCTCCCACAGTGATGAGACACCCCCCCCCCATTTCCTAAGGGCCTCCACCTGTCATTCTTGGAGTCCCAACCACGTCACTTCCCTTTGGGCAGGCAGCAGCTCTACCCTCCACCCACCCAGCTCCACTCCACCTCCACCCTTGACCCAGGTCAGGTCAACGGATGGTAGTCCTAGAGCTGGCTGGACGGAAGCGTGCACAGCATCAAGCTGGCCTGGAGAAAAGGGAAAGAAGGGAAGGAAGACAGTCCCAACTTCAGCTGCACAAGCAGATAAACATCCCAGTAGTTAAAGCTAATCTGAACTGGCTTTCTGTCACTTGCAACCAAAAGAATCCCGGAATCCACATACACAGGAATCCACTTGAAAACACTGCAAGCAATAAAGAAAAAAGAGGAAACCATAGCTGGGATCAGGAAGGAAATTCAACCAAAAAGGATCTGCCTGTGATCGAAGGCTGGCAGATAGAGCAGGCAGGCTCTTCCTGAATGTCGCTTCCCTTTCTCGGAGGTGCTCCTACGAAGTGGAGCACACTCCATTTGGGTCCCGGGCGCTGTGACTTCAGGACTTGCCCGAGTCCCGTTCCGTCCACAGCCGTCTTGAGGGTCTGTGTCCCCCTGGGCACCTGCGCTTGAGGAGACCTGTGAGCGACGGTCCTGGATGGGATACTAATGGGGAGTGTCAGGCTCCATTAGAGGGAAACACTCAGATCTGCTGTTTTACAACCTGAAGCAAATAATTCCTCTATGTAAGTCTAATTTATGTAAATATTTTCTCAAAGCAATGACAGGGGGAGCCGTGTGTGTCAGCTTGGTCAGCTTCCCCAGCAGAACCTCCCAGGAAAGGCCTCCAAAACCAGCAGCTCTGTCTGACCCCTTGATCGCTCAAGGGAAGTTCTCCTTCCACAAAGAAACTGCATCCAACAAGGGTCTTCTGCCATCGCAGGGTCCTCTCCTCCCCTGGGGGGCCCCGAAGCCCCCCCCCATAGGGTTCTCTCCCCACCCCCCATCGGCCCCCTCTACGATCTTCCTGGCAAATTCTCTCCGTCCCAGACGACGCTCTCCTCCCCAGGATTTTCCTCAGGGCCCACCCCACACCCGTGGTCACCCCTCCCAGGATCCTCCCCTCCCAGGGTCCTCCCCTCCCAGGGTCCTCCCCTCCCAGGGTCCTCCCTTCCCAGGGTCTTCCCCCAGGACGCAACCCCACCCCGGGTCCATCCCTCCCACAGCCCACCCTCCCAAGGTCCTCCCCAGGGTCCACCCCTCTTAGGATCCACCCCCAGGATCCTCCCTTCTCAGGATCCTCCCCAGGGTCCACCCCCTAAGAGCCTCCCGCCCATCCTCCTCCCCGCCGGAGACTCCGCCGGCCCGCACACTCACCTCCCGAAACTCCGGGTCCACACCGGACCCTGAGACAGCATGCCGGCCTCTCTCCATCCGTTCCTGCGCCCACACGGCCGGCCTCGGGCCGCCCAGGGACCTTCCCCCGCCCGGCGCGAGCCCGCAACCCCCGCCGCCTGCAGGGAGCTGCGCCCAAGAGGCGCCGCGACTCGCGACTCTGCGAAGAGCCGCCCCCATGCGCGCCCGCCGCAGCGCCCCCGCTCCCCCACCTTCCGCTCCCCTCCTCCAGCGCCTCCGGCCCACGCCGCCCCGCCCCCAGCCCGGCTGTCGCCCGGCCCCCAGGCTGTTCCCAGGGCTGCGGCCCGCGCCGCGCCTCCGCCTCCTCCCCTGCGATCGACAGCGCTGCCCACCAATCGCTGTCTGCAATCGGCCCGCGGGCCCCGCCCCCTCCCCCGTCTCCGGAACCCACCAATGGGAAGTGCG